CGGCATGCCCTATTTCTAAAGGGTAGCGAAATACCATCTGGTCGGCCCCCACCTGCCCCAGGGGCCGTGTGGCGATCACGGTTCGGGAAGTGGCGATCTCGGGGTCCTTAGCTAGGGTCTAATCAACCCTTGGTGTGGACGAGACACCTTGATATGGCAGGCACAGCTTATTCATGCATGTAAGCAGCCGGACAGGTCCTACCAATAGACCTGCGATTGGATTGGTACTACGGGCGCTCCGGTTGCCCACGAGAGCGTACGAAGAGTGCTGAGTCTCCTTGTCCCCTCGCAGAGAGCGTACCATGTGTACTTGTCCCCGGGTCCTCTCGGCCGGTGCAATTGGTGTTGGATTCGTAGTGGCAGTGGTTGAAGTCTACATGCTGGGCAGAGACCTTTCGAGGGTCTCGGTGCGTGAGCAGCATCCCAAATGCTCCTGGACCAGACAGGAAATCTGGTAGAAGTTTTGGAAAGATAACTCGACGCTACCAACAGTCTACTTCCATGGGACTCGTCATCCTCGGGAAGCAACGCTGGTAAGGCTACGGCCTCAGCTGATTGAGCTTAATCTCAATCCCTCGCCCATGGGGGCTCTCCTTGGTAAGCCGTCACGGCAGGTACTTGGAGAATAATCTGGGTTCCCTATGGTCAGCCCCCACCCCCCGGGGCATAAGGAGTGGGCGCTCCTCATATCGAACATGCTGAGCCCGGTCTTTCACCCCTACCTCCAAGTGGTGTGCCCTAGGAAACAAAAATGTTTGGTAACGGGGATCTGGCGCCGCTCTCTTGCGAGCGTCCGGCGATAACATACGGAGCCGCACAGCGGTGTACTGTGGTCTTGCTTATATACCAAGCAAGACTTTTACGTGACTCCATTGTTGTCGCGGAGCTCTGGGTTATCGCTTAACGGACCGCGCAGTCGTCCACACCGTAGCCGATATGCTGAACGACGACCCACCAGGGACATCCACCTAATGGTATGCGAGGCTTTCGGTCGGGGGTTTGCCTTAACCGGTTGGTCCGCGAGGAGATAAACCTCTGTAATAAATCCGGAACCTTAAGTAATGGTGCGCGGCGAAGGGGTGCGTGCCATCCGTGCGGTGGTCTGTGGTTGGTGGTGCACCAGCCCCTAGCGGCCAACCTCAAAACACCTGGCGCACCTCGTTGTATTTAGCCTTCCCTCCTCCTATTTCGTCCTAACTCGTGGGAACAATTATAGATAAATTCCGAACTACAAAATAAATTAAGAAAGAACTGAGAACACTTGAGGGTCAGTCTTACACAAAGGAAACTAACAACAAGTTGCCATCAAAATTCTTACAGAAGCTTGTCCTGTAAGCCCACTAAAGACCGAATGTGATCCTCAGTGGTAACGTCCTGGACTGTAATATTCCGTCTTGGCGGGTATTACCGGACACGGCGGCGAAATAAGTCGCGTCCCACGAGGAACGGTCTACTCTTCTAATGATCCTACGGGTGATTGAGAGGTTATTCCAAGCACAGGCGTTGTACAGACGTCGACTGTACGACGCTCTCCTGGTTTTGGGTCCAGCCAGAGAGCAAAGGCCAAACACCATCTCGGCCGTCGTTATGCCGA